GGCGGGAGGGCTTCTCTGGTAGGTGGAAACGCCGAGGCTGAGCTTGTCCACGTCCCTCGAAGCGCAGAGCGGGGCGCTGCCTGCCCTTTTCCCCTTAGGGGAAGAGGCGCCCAGAGGCCGGTGCGGGGATGCCCCACCCCCGACAGCGCCAGAGGCTCCTTCTCTCCGCCGTCGCGTAGTTGGCACCTAGGCGCGCGCTGCTCGCCCACTCGGCGGCGGAGCCACGGCTTCGCTCAGCTGCCGCTTCAGGCCGCCCGGGCTGCACCCAGCCCCGCGTCTTGGGACTGTTCTTTCGCCCAGAACGAACATGCATTGATTGTCGGGTTGCGCGTGGTTGTTTCGGTTACAGGAAAGCCTTCCCCAACACCTGCAGCTTAGCAACTCACCGAAAGCACTTGGGGACAGCGCAGCCAGAGGCAGACTTTCTGGGAAGAGAACCCAACCAAGATTTTTTAGGCACCCGAAAGATGAACAGCGTTATTAAGTCACAGGGGAGTCTGCCTCTCCAAGATTTTTGCTATACTGTAATAACTATGGTACAAAGCCATCCTAGGCAGGACTGCTTAGAAATAAGTTTCCCTGAATTTAGTGGGGTTCCAAGTTTAGCCTTTCGGGTGCCATTAGATTCTTTGATCCGAGTACATAGTTATGACCCTGGATACTCTTATTTGAAACTGATTTCCTTGAATTATTTGCTACCATACCGAGTTTGAGATTTAAATAATACTTGCTTCTAAGTAAACATTTAAAAAATCCCATGAATTCTGAAGCAGGGCAACAAAGTTTTTAGCAGTTTATGGGGAATTGTAGCTGGATAGTTTCAACAGTATGGATCAGTGTTTCTCAACCTTGGCAACTTTAAGATGTGTGGACTTCAACTCCCAGAATTCCCCAGCCAGCATGGGGAGTTGAAGTCCACACATCTTAAAGTTGCCAAGGTTGAGAAACATTGGTATGCATTGTTTACTCAGAGGCCAGAATGCATAACTTCTAGGATTGTAACACTATTTGCAAGGTGTTTTCTAATCCGATTTAGGAAATAGGATGATGTTATTTCTTCGAGAGAACATAGGCACCTTGCCTGTGATTTAGGCCCTGACCTGCATGCACCTGAATAGGATGCAGGCAATAGACTGGTGACTATACCAGACTTCATCCTTGACCCCATCACACTGTCCTCATCCCAGGCCAATAATTAAAACAGCCTTATCCTGTCAACTTTGCACTGGTTTTAAATTTCAGTGAAACCTTGGTTTATCAAAGATCAGTGCAACGGGCTTTACACACAACATGTTTGTTTTTACATATTGATTAACATTTGCGTAATGACATCATTATGCAAATGATACAAATTGCTGCAAGTGACTAGTCTCTAATTTAATGGACATTTGTAAGTAATGGATATCCCCTCCCTGAAATTAGTCTACTGAAGTGAAGATTCGTACTAAGCCAACCGTGTCCTACCACCTCTCCAAGGTATGTAAAATCTGAATTGGTGAAGAACTATACCAGTTTGACATTTGGGAAGGGTCCAAAGCCAGTTGATTTACTGTAGGTGTGATCAGTTCTGTTATAGACGTTTTGGGTGCAACATGCTAGCACATGTTCCACTGCGACCATTTATTTCCCAGCATTTGTCATTTGCAGTCATTTCTGCGCTCTCTGCTTCCACCAATAAGACACTTGGTTGTCTAACAGCTACTCACTTTCAGTTCTACCCCTACAGACTCTAGCTAGTTGCACAATCATGGCAGAATCTGACTCTCACCAAATTTGCCCTATTTCTGCCTTGCTTCCCATTTTTGTATTTCACATTATCTAAACTTGGGAGATGGACAGATGGGGTGTGAGAGGAACAGTAGACAAACCAGCCTACAATTGCCCAGGCAGAATCCAGAAGTGGGATCCTTCCCATTCCTGCTGCAGGTTCTGGATTGGTGGATGTTTTACTTGCTGGCTGGTGACATCCTGGAAAGGATACTGGAGAACACTAATCATTTTGCTTAGAATGAGCAGCACCCTCACCAGTCAGGGCACCACCACTTGGCAGTGATTCAAAATTGACACCGTAGAGGTCTGATAGGGGTGGGCACTGGGGACAGCAATTTTTGTGTTGGGGTTGTTTTGTGCCAAGTCAAAGCTGGGTGGCCAGTTTACATCAGTGGTAGAGAAAGGCCCTTAGGCTATAATAGAAATAGAATTTTCTTCAGCTTTCTAGACTACAGTCAATCAGTTTATGAAATATATGAAGTTGAGACTGACTCTAAGTTCTCATCATTACCTTGGATAGATTACTGAGTTGCCTTAAATTCTGTCTGCTCATCTGTTGATTTTTAGCTTTACGTTCAACTTCCCCCCAAAAGCTCATAGCTGGTAATAGAGACATAGAAGACTAATGAAGAATGCATACCATGCAGCACAAAATTAGATGCACTTACTGTTCTGTTCAGTTGTGGCTTCAGATTATCTTGAAAAATTACAATTTCTCTACCATCACTTGAAAGCTTTTGAACCTTAATATGGAACTTAACTAATCGCTCCATTGGCATATGGATGGGAAAGATGGTGTAACTGTAATAAATGTAATTTTTCTTTGGGAGAAAGAAGAATCGGACAAAATAAAGTTTGAATCTACTGCTTAGAATTTTTCCAAAGTTTAAAATATTTATAGCCTGCTCACTCTGTAAAGGATCATGTAGTACTTTAGAGTCCTTGGTGCTCTCAGAGCTTGGTTGTTTGCTTGCAGATGTTGCATTACCCACTAGGTAACATTGTCTGGCACTGATGATGTCATCCAGTTGGTTAATGAAACGTCTGCAAGCAAACAACCAAACTCAGAGAACACCAAGGACTCCACAGTTCAACCCTGAGCTATATATGTATTCTCTTCTGTTGGAATATAGTTCTTTGCTATGCAGAACAGAACAAAGTTATAGTTCAGATAGATTAGACTTCAGAGCCTCATTTCAGATCAGCCAGATATTTAAAATGTGCTTAGATTGAAAACCAGACCCTTATGGAAGCATGATGGATGTCTCCAAATTTTGACGCGTATCTTTGATGTATATCTTTAGGATAGTGGCCCAAATGCCTTTTAATTAAGAACCCTAACAAAACTAATATATAAAAAGAATGACTTGTACCTCTAGTCTGTCTTTTGCAAAAGGCAAGGCATTTTGCAACTACAGCTTTTCTTCTGCTTTGTATACTGTTTCAGAACCAGCAAGCATGTCCCACTTTGAAAACAAAAGGCTAATATTTGGCTTAATGGCAGGAGCTGCTGGAGTAACCTTTGTCCTGTGTTGGTATCTCAAGACACACAAGCGCAACAAAGCTGTGCGCTTGCCTGTATTTCCAAATTCAGCCAACAGTTTTGATTTAGTAGATTTTCCATATGAAACTCACAGAGAAGAAAGAACAGTGTTGCTGTTACAAGGAAGACAGCTTCAGATACTGGAGAAATTGAATGGCTTAGTGGTAAGTGTGGAAGAACTTAAAAGAGAAGTGACATTTCTGAAAGAAGCTATTCCGAAGTTGGATGAACTTGTTCGAGATGAACTTCAAGGAAAAACAGAAAGTCGCAGAACCAGCCCTTTACATAGGCCTGCAAAGAAGCGAAAGGTTGAGGCAACAGCTCAAGGCGTATCTGATACTACTAGTTCTGAAGAGGCTGAAAGTGAAGGCGGGTGGGTATTTAAAAAATATTTTGAATGATGTTAATGAAATACTTAGTTTTTAAAAGATAAGAAGTCTATAAAAGCAAACTACTGTTTTTATAGATTTAAATATTCAGTAAACTTCACATAACTAGTCCTGGCATCTTATAACATCTAACATTTCTGGATTGCTTTCTAAAACACCTCAATATTTGGAGAGGCCATTTAAAGAGAATTTACAATTCCTTTGCTTTGTAATCAAGCTAAGTTGATTTGAGTCCTAACGAATTTCCAAGTAGTCAGTCTTAGTGTTACCTAGAGATTTGTAAAATGTTTTAAAGTCTAAATATTTGACCTCAGAGCACTCTTTTCTGCCACAAAAACAGCTTTTCTGAACTTAAAGTGAGCCATTCTGGGTCTGCCAAGTGAACTGACCTTGAAACGGGGTACTGCAACCTCAGTTTTGAGGTCAGAATGGGATTTTCTGATAATCACTTCAGCCACATAGCATTTTGCATCCTTGGTATGTCTCAGCTTGAAAACCCTGAAGTATTACATGATTTGCAGTTTCTCAGCCACTGTAGCCTTACCCTGGAAAATAGAATTCCTGTGGTGTAATTCTTGTTCATTATACTGTTTATATTATTACCAGTCAGGGTTCATTTTGATTACAATTCTTCCTGTGTCATTTTCAACCACTGTGGCCTCATGAAAATGATCTAGCTACCTTGCTGTTTCCACCGCGATATCTGAAGCAGAATATAGAGTGGAGAAGTATGTTCTCCTAGGAATTCTAGCATACATGTGTACACAAAGCAAAATAAATGTAATTGGCCCATGTGGTGATGGATATGCACATTGCATGCCTATGTACAGTGTAGTATTTCTTTTAGATGTATTATGTCATGCCATTTTGTAAAATAAACAGCTTCCACTGAGTAGCTAATATTATACGTTAAAACAGAATGAACAAAGCACAAAATCTTAACAAACCAGGCTGATTTTAATGTATGTTTTGTATGAAAGAAGATAATAAGATTAATTAATTGCCTTGATTCAATGGCATCCCTTACTTAGGTAAGTATTGGGTCCTTGGTACTCTTTGTATCATGCAGACTAAACCAATAAATAGATACATGACTATTTCTCTGCCCTTTTTTTTTTTTTTTGCCCCTCAGGTACTAATGTTTTAAGATCTTGTGTTTCAGATTAGCTGAATAAGTTTTTAAAGTTACTGAAAGCATGGTTATCAACACGTGGGGAAATTATATTTACTTAATTTATTTTAATTGAAGTTATTTGCTTATATAACTACATCCCCTTTTGTTCTAGTAGTTTTAATCTGCCTACATAACATGTCCTCCTTCCAGTTTTCCCATTCTTCCTCCTAACTTTTCTGGGCAGTGAGTTGGGCTGGGAGAGAGTTACCAACCCAAAGGCACCTGTCCTTTCAAAACAAGATCATTTGTGAGTTTTAAGGCAACAAAATGCCAACTGCTAGCATTAAACTTCATGGCTGTAAGTGGATTTGAGCCAGTATCTCCTTGGTCCTCATGTTAGCCACTTTGCTACACTTTTCATCTTGCCCTCCCCAAATTATCAGAATGTGTTCCTGGAATGCCGCTTAAGAGCATTGTGTGGCCCTCAGCCCAAAACGTCTGCAGTGCTTCAGATTTGCTTGGGAAGAGATGCTCTGAGACAGACAGCAGTGTCAACATAGCACGTGGCCCTGACTCATTCAAAGCAGGTGCACCTGATTCTGGGTTCAAGTTGCAGCCTGTTTATGTGTCAACACATTCCAAAACATCCTTTTCCAATCCAACCTGAAGTATTACACAGTCCCTGGGTTGAAGTTTTCAGTTAAA